ATTAGTGCGAGCCCTCAAACTGGTATTCAAGCAAAGTAGTCGTCACCCCCTTCGATGGAAAACCTACAAAGGTACGGAATTTCTCAGTCAAGCTTTCCAAAATGAATTGAAGCAAAGAGATATTAATTTTTACCACCGAAAAACACCAAAGCCAGCATCGTGAAACGTTTCAAACGCACATTGAAAGAATGCATGTGGAAATATTTTACGCATCTACACACTCTCAAGTACATCGACGTCTTGCCACACCTCGTTCAATCCTACAACCAATCATACCATCGGAGAATTGGACGTGTCAGTCACTGTCTCCAAGAAAGGTGGAATGTTAGCCACAGGATATTTGGTACGTATTGGCAAAACCAAACGTACTTTCAACAAATGTTACTTATCCAATTGGACCACCGAATTGCTTTGTGTCACCGAACGAGTACGTAGCCGTTATCCTTTTGTCTATAAATTGGAAGACTTGAACCAAGAATTGTTATAATGAACGTTTTATTTACCCACGTTACAACGTGCAACTAAAAACGACGACGTTTACGAGACAGAAAGCATTCTCGTTTGAGGAACACGAAATGTGGGAAAACGCCGTGTCAAAGAAGTCAAAGTACATTGGAGAGAATATCCGTAAAATATTTACTCTTGGATTGACGCTTCCCAATTTATTGACTATAAAAAGAAGTGACGGTCATGTCTTTCAACACAGCCTCAGCTCCTGCAGTGGCCGCTTCTTTCCCCAGTTCTTTGCAAAATCTACAAAGAAAACCCTTGTGGGTGTGGAGTGGAGAATGTTTGCTTAAAGCCAAAACGTCTTTTCTCAGCAAAACCTTTGTGGTGTATTGTGTCTTCGGTGCTGTCATTGCCAATTTGAATTTGCAAAACCGAGACAAACAATTGTGGACTATTTTACTTATTAGTTGCATTGGTTACCTGCTTCCCAAACCGTCCCTAAAATATTCCTCTAACAGAAACAACATCAGGAGTATTGTGTCCATCGAGAGTTCCAACAGTCACCCAAACCATCGTCGTTTAGACAATCTAACTTCCAGTTACTCCTTGGACAATAAATCTGTGGAATTATGAACAACCAATTTTACTTAACTTTATTCAGAGACAGTTCGATGAAGGTGTTTCCCAAGAACGCTTTGTTTTGTTTCACAGCCAAATTACCTCAGACCAATCAATTGGATGACGAAGTTCATTGGGAAGTGGCTTTAGTGGAAATGATTTACTGTACACAAATAAAAAACATCATCCAAACTCAAAGCAATGTATCTATAGAAGTTGAAGACGAAAAAAATGCAACATGCCATGGATGAACGCAGTGATAAAAATGACTTACCCCCAAAAAATCGAATCACTTATATGTTAAAAATTCCTGCACGTTATTATTTTAGTGGTCAATATTTGGTGAAAACCCTTGCTAACAGGTTCAATTACAGGTTTGAAAAAGCCTTGGAGAAAGCTAAAACAAAGTGGCACAATCGAGTACATGAAATAGCTCGTCGCCTCCTGATCACATGTACACATATCAATATATTGACCATTATATTTTGTCCTGAATTATATCATATTTTGGGTAGAAACCCAAAAAATGATCGAGATTCATCCAACAAAAATGCCATTCATAGGTAACAATCTGGATTTTGCCAAACATTTTCATTACCCTGTAGTAATAAACCAAGGACTGAATTTGATTCTTATGTACTTTGATGTGGTGGAGTACAAGTCACCTCCATACCGTTACTGCGTGTCATTTTATTCAAAGTTAATTCTACGTCTGTTGACGAAGAAGGTGCAAACACATATCACATTCACCGCGAATTTGTACATCCTGACTATTTACCTGTAAGTCATATTTCGACACTGTAACCAACACTATAAAAGAAGATGTGAGACAAAATGTTACATTCACCTAAAGGAAAGTTACCATGTAGCACCATTTTCCAAAACAAGCACTCAAAAACATCTTGTCAGTCATGTATGATGTGCACCAAGGAGTCGCTCAAAAATAAGGATATGATTTAGGTGATATGGTCAAATCAACCATTCGTGCAGAGGCTCCTGTATCGAAACCGATGGTGACATGGGGATTGCACGTCTTCAAAAATGCTACGTTGACACACGGTAAAGAATTTCTTTAAAATCTAATCATTGATAAATAAGACCCCAAAGCCGCTTTCTTAAGAGCTGGTAAAATGTTTTGCTTTAAACAGGCAAACACATTTTGGTCTTGCGAGAAACTCCTGTAAATGCTACGATCGATGCTGAGCCAGATATTCCTGCTTGCCTGACGAAAGAGGAAGTCGGAAAAAGACAAAGAAGACTTCAGAGGACTTAACTCTCTCAAAGCTAGAAAGGCTAAGAAAAGAAAAACTGTTCGAAACTTAGACATTGTTTATTATTATAAATTCAGAGATAGAAAAATGATGCACCGAGAGTCTTGTGCCTCTTCCAAGTCGGAACTGGATCTGTTTGCCAGGCCACCCACGATACTGACTGCAAGAATTCCAATTGGTCAAATTTCATCTCATCTCTTTTTGACAAATTCAGCTCCCATCGAGTTTGAAATTAAAGGACAAACCGAAGATTACATCGATCTGAATAGCAATTAATTGTATCTGAAAGTACAAGTACAATCAGGGGACAGCAGCGGTATAGATAAGGAAGCAGTAGCACCCGTCAACAATTTCATAAATTCCTTGTTCAGCGAAGCATAGTTGTACTTGAATAATAAACTAGTCATTAGTAGTATGGATATTTACTCTTATTGATCGTACCTAGAAAATCTATTGACGTGATTGGTATGAAAACATGACACACTGAGCAAATTCGACGAGCTAGATGTCGAAAGATCTGGATTTACCGCTTGCCAAGAGAAAATTAGTCTAAAGCGTATTTTAGAGCTGATGGATCGCTTCCATTTGGAAATAAGAGAAATATTTACTGAACGGAGTGAATATTCGCCTGAGACTGAATCATGGCAGTGCGTCGTTCTATTTGATGGCTGAGAACGACGTTTACAAAACCTTTACCCAAGAAGCCAGACTTTATGTACGTCGAGTAGAAGTACTACCTAAAACTGAAAACGATGTCAGTCACACTTAGAGGAGAACAACTGCCAAGTATCCGATACGACGTGTAGATGTGAAAAGATTTACCTGTACGAACATACCGGACAACTAGAAACCAACACTCGCCACGGCATTTGGTTCGAGGATGATGCTGAAGGTTACACTTAGGGGGTTTTGATTTCACTCCATATTAAGGCAATGGCGAGGGACATTTCCACTTTATAAAATCTCGTCAACTGAGTGTGGAACTTCAGTTTAGACAAGCAACAGTTATCGATCACTCAGTGAACGTCATCCTGTATGCTGAATTCGATAATACCATAAAATCAACAGTTTGAGAGAAGTCATTCTAGGCGATTAGACACTATGGAAGACATGTATCCTTCTTTTAAAGGTAAAGAATCTACGGAAATGGAAAAAGAGAATACCGTGGAAACATAATTCCCAAAACGAACACAAAGATAATAAAGTAGTCAAGATCAGATGGCCAGAACAAGAACAACATTTAGTGTCCAGTTTTGCTAAACACTTGGCGGATAAAATTACGGAATTGGTCAAGAAAGCTTGCTATGTATGTCAAAAAGATCATCACAGTCAAATTCAACACGATAAATATCTGATGATGAACCAAAAGAAGAAAAATTAAAAATTTGATGAATATCTGGACGAGATTTGGAGTTTCATCTCAGAAAAAGCCTTGTTGCATGAGTAGTTTAAAGGCTTATGTGATCATTCTAGTCCCCCATTGACTAACAAGAGGTTTATCGCATTGAAGTTCTCTTAGCCCATAGTTTGGAAGCAAGGCTAAAATACGGTTACTTGTTAGAACTTTTCAAGCAAAAAGTCAGAATGGAATTGATGACGTATTGTTGCCTGTAAAAAACAAGAGAAACAAAATAAAAATGGATACCTGGTAATTTTATTATCTTTTAAACAGCAGTTCGTATTCTGCTTCTTGGAATCATGTTGTGTGTGCTAGAGATAAACTCCCTCATCGCAAACCTCAAGACCATCAAGCTTATGTCATCAACACGGACAACATTCATCTTCCAGGAACTCATTGCCCAGATAACGCGATTCAATGTAAAATTACACAGCAACGATTCCATGGTGTGTGGACATTATTGTGGGTATTTTATTCATCAACGCAGTGTGGGATATTCTTTAGAACATTTAGTAATGTATTTTAATCGTAACTCATCTAGAAACGATGAAAACGGAAATCAATGATTGTGTGACTCTTACGGTTATATTTTGTCTTTAGCTAGACAACGTAGTGTACATCAATGGCCTCATGACTTTCATCAATGGAAATCTCACATGATTTCACAACGTTGTCAACCTTGTCAATAATAATTTGTATGTTGGATATTATTGTTCCTTGTTCTTTATGTTCATTGTTACTTGAATAAAATTGTTGTATTTTGAAAAGATGAGTCTGTCGTTTTTTTTCTAATGAACAAAACTGTCAATTATGCTCTTTGATTTTTTTCTCAATCCCACCCCATGAATGAGCCATCATCACGTTCCAACAGTAAAACCCAGTATGGATGTTTTATATCACGTCCGAGCTTGTACCATATAAAGTGGGTAAGTCTCCAACCTGATCATCCACTGTTGACTCATCAACCTATGAAGATGAGTTCACGACTAGCTAAACTAAATGAAGCTTACATTCAATTACACAGTGTCAGGCAGAGATTTTGAGGACTATCGAATAGACACCAAAGAATTTTCTTTCTCTTTTCTCAGAAGCAGACATTAGCAGAGGTAAGACTGTTTCCAAATTGGGCTGCAATCTTAGTAAAAAATTATTACTTTTCTCAACAAAAACAATCCTATTCAGGACTACACAATACTCCCGAAAAAATATCCATTTGTCCAATTTGTAATTAGAAAAAAATATAAGTGTACCGCACCACTCCAGTGGCATAGTGGTTAGAGCATCCGCCTCGGATGCGGAAGGTTATGGGTTCAATCTTTGGTCGAGTCACACCAAAGACTGACAAAAATGGCACAAAGAGCTGCCACACTTGATGATCAGCGTTAAGAGTTTAGTGTTAGAACTGGTTAGATTGGCGTCATGATAATGTGACTGGATGGGACATCATGCCATATGTCTGCGGCATGAAGCTCCAGTGCTAGAAATCACTCTAAACTGCCACACTGCCGACATCGTAGCGATATGACTGAACAATTGTTAAAACTAAGTTCAATATCATAATCACATCACATCACACAGGAGTGTGCATATAAGCTCTTCGTTTCTCAGTCTTGTCCAAAAAATTGTCTGTCTGTGTTAGCAAGCAAAAAAGTAAAAAGTCAATGAGAGTGCTTCTTTTAGGTTTGCGGGTTTCATGTCATTTTAAAAGTTTGGTACTAATGGGATGTTTTCGATCACGTCCGAGCAGCAAGGATAAATAAAGGGAATCTATAAGCCGGTATTGAGTTGGAGAGTGGATTGCGGTTCTGCCATTTCTGGAGCTTAAGATTGGAAGTCACAATAAATACGATACGGGTCTTTTTTTGAGGTCCCTGATCTCTAGGGGTCAGGAAAAGGCCTATCACCAAAGGCCAAGCGCCCTCCAGGGGGACCACAGACCACGCCCGGGACTGTGGCATACTCCCCAGAGGGACTGCAGTCCAATCCCGGGACTGTAAGCAGTCGTATAAGCCTCACGGTAGCATGCGACTTAAACGAGAAATGAAATGAAATGGTATTGAAACCCTAATAACCCATCTCCGCATACAAACAATAACATGCTCGCAAACATCATACCTAGTCCATAACATAAAACAGGCGCTAGGACTCATACTAGCACAAGCCTGGTGGATCCTGAAACCTATAAACACTGTATAGGCTAAGATTTCCCACCATGACAAGGACATATAGGTCAAGACCGATAACCAAGGGCAATTCAGGAACCTCCCCCCTGATATCCCTAACTCCCAGGAGCGGAGTAGATCGATTGGCCGAAATAGCGAATAATCTACTCCACTAGGGGGATTAAATGAAAATATTACATTTCATCAAAGCCAACTAATATACTGGAAGCTCTACCAGTATATATCCGAAGCGGAGAATTGGAGCCGACCAATTCTCAAATATGAAAAGGCAGTGAGATTCAGTTAGCGGGGTCTTGGATCCGACCAAGACCCAAAATAAATATAAAATTCCCATAGTCGTTTTAACGATAGGGGGATTAAATGAAAAGATTACATAACATCATATACAGCCAATACTCTGAAAGCTCTACCAGTAAATGACCGAAGCGGAGAATTGGATCCGACCAATTCTCAAACATGAAAGGCAGGGGGATACAGTCAGCTCCTACTGGATACAACGAAGGAGGGAAGTAACCACAACTAGAACAAGATGGCGGATTCAACAGACAAGCAGAGGGATGATGCGGGTCCGGCCCAAATCCGACAACCCCAGAAGCAATACCATCACTACCCTGAGGGTAGAATGAAAAGATTACAATTTGTTATTGCCAATAAAGAAAAGCACAAAATTGCCTTCCAATCAAAAGGGATATTTAGACTGCTCCAGCTAACATCCCAAAAGCCCAACCCAGCACGCACACAAACAGACCACACTTCAAAAACAAATCAAGAGACTATGCAGAACTAACCACCTCCACACTGCTGTCTCAAAACCCCAACCCTGGTACGGACAACGATTAGCGATGAACAGTCCGGGCTGCGCGGCCAACTGTTCTAAACGAAAAATCTACAACTTATGTCTTCACTTTGGCTCTGAAGACCTACGGCCCAAACAAGATTCTTTGGCAAGGCGGTCAAAATTACACAACCATCCAAACCAAAGCGGTGATAAATATATTAAATAGGCGGCATACGCCTAAAGATTGGTATTTTTTGCAAACACTATAAGTACGCCAAGTACGCAAAATTCCAATTACAAACATTCATTCCAAATGCACAACTCAGGCTCATTAGGACAATTGCACAGGTGGCTTACACAACATTGATATAGGGATACCAATAGGAAAAACTGGTATATATTTGACAAATAATCCACCCAACTGAAATAAAGTTAAGTGGATAATAACTTGAGGACATTGGTGGGGCGGGGGTCGCGGCCCGAGTGGGAGAATAGTTTGCGGTTTCTGCCATTTTCGCGATTAGGGTCAAGTTCGAAGTGGAAGCGGTGCACACTATAAGGGTCTTTTTGAGGTCCCTTATCTCTAGGGGTCAGGAAAAGACCTAGCACCAAGGCCAAGTGCCCTCCAGGGGGGACCACAGACCACGCCCGGGACTGTGGCATACTCCCCAGAGGGACTGCAGTCCATGCCCGGGACTGTAAGGAGTCGTATAAGCCTCACGGCAGCAAGCGACTTAAACGAGAAAGAAAGAAAGAAAATAGTTACCAGGGAGACAGGTGGCAGCCTTCGAAGAGGTCGGACGTGTTTTTCAGGAGCTCCCGGAGAACAAAGGAACAGAGAAAAAAGAAGAAAGAAGAAAGAAGAACGAAGAAGAAGAAAGAATAAAAGAGAAGAAAATAGACACAAGAAATGACCAAATTCTTTTTCACACGATATATAGTAAAAGAAAGGACTAGCAGAAGAAAGAAGAAAGAAGTTTGCTACTATCACACCACTGTTGTTTTAACAGTAGCGGAGTGAAATAGGATTACTCAGAATGTCATACATAGGGCTCACTTTGGCAAAGAGCTCTTTTTAGGCTAACAACTACTTTTTTGGCCCTTGAAGGGCTGATTGGAGAGAAACAATATATAACTTCCCACCAAACAAATTAAGACCACTAAATTACACAAGGTAGCTTATACCTACCAAATTTGACATAAACTTTTGGAACCTAAATGTACGCATAGTACACAAAAACATAATACTTATATACAGCAGGAAATTTCACAGCTCATCTTTATTCGACTCGTATGTGGCTTACGCATGTTTGGCTATGATAGGGACTCCCACCCCCAATAGGCAACGGGCAAAAACGAAACTTATCTTAGTGGGAGGAAGCGACACCCATTGGCGACATCGTCAGCACGAGGAACACCATGGGATCCAACAATCAAGGAATGAGGAAGTGCAGAAGGAAGCGCCCTGGGCCACATAAAAATACAGTGGAAAGATTACACTTTCAAAGCCAATAATACTATGTGGACCTATGGTAAGCCGGACACAGGGAAAGAGCTACAACACACAGATAGAGGAATTAACTACGGTACCGCCCTTTGCTGGATCCTTTCCTTTGCATTTTCCGAGCCCGTGGGTCGAGGCGGTTGAACTGTGTGAATACTACCCAATAGAGGTCTGTTTTAAGGTCAATTAAAAGGTCAAGCACTAGGCCAAAAGCCCATCCCTAGGGCTAAGTGCCTCCCAGGATTAGCAACACCACCGATAAGGTGATGTCCGGCTTAGGTGGTAAACCATCTAGGGGGGGGCTATTAGGCCCATGCGCCGGGCATAAAAGTGTCAAGCACTGAGACACGGGTGAGGCCTGCCTCAGAAGGAGGGGAGGCCACTAGCCCTTTTCAGGGCTTTAACCAGTCATAATACACAAGAGTGGACACATGACTATAATAACAGATCAGTCAGTCAGTCAGACTAGTTACCCACTGGCAGGGCAGGGAGGCTCGGCTGGACTGTGGAACAGTGCGGACGTGTTTTTTCTACGCTCCCGGACTTTAAGGATAATATTTGATGATTCACTTCACACTAGGGATACTACACTAGGAAAAGCTAAGGTAAAGTAAAATCTACTTAAATCTACTCAAAACTACTAAATCTATAAAAGTCAATTTAAAAATCTACTTTACATCATAACTATAAATTAATTGTTGTTACTAAAAACACAATGTAATTATATAATACTTAAAGCCAACTAGTACTGAATTTTATCACCTCAAACAACCCCTACTACAACTAACGATGTAAATATACTCTCCTTTACAATGTTTACAATTTTTTTAACATATTGGATAAAAACTAAAACTATTAATTAAAAATTCCTTTGTTCATTTGTTCTTACGGAAAATTTCTTTGTTCCTTTGTTCTTACGGAAACAAACACGTGGGCAGCCGAAATATACTCTGAACAGTGGTACTACTCGACAACAATAACCTCAAATAATATATTATACATATTTAATCATACAACCCCTACATGAATATTCATTAAAAAAATTTAAAAACAATTAAATTTAAACTCTAACCAACAGTAAATTTCCCCTTTCAACATACCGGGTTAATATTATACCAGCTAACAAATCAGATAATACGAAATACATAAGCCCTAAACTAAGGCTGCATCTGATTGACCGATTATAATAGCGCTTAATCACAAAAGTAAAACATACAAGCTTGAACTAAAAGAAGGATTGAAAACCAAAAACTTTACCAACCAATCAAGATTTAGCACTCGAATGACGTACACAAGAAACACAACTTTAGCCCAAACGCTCCCACATAACTACTAATAAATGTACACTATTCTTCAATTAACGGGGAATAAAGATAAAATCTGAATCATCCAATATTACACAGTAAATAATACGATACAAAGAAGAAAGGACCGGAATCATACAAGAAGGAGAGGGGAAAGAAACAACCAGTTAGCTTAATCAAACCTACCGGAAGTACAGCTTAATAACATCAAATAAAGAGAATAAATAAGCCCGTATCGAATCCCTAATAACCCATCCCAGCATATAAACAATAACATACTCGCAATCACCATACCTAGTCCATAACATAAAACAGGCACAAGGACTCATACTAGCACAAGCCTGGGTGGATCCTGAAACCTATAAGTACTGTATAGGCTAAGATTTCCCACCATGACAAGGACATATAGGTCACGACCAATAGCGAAGGGCAAAATCAGGAACCTCCCACCTGAATACCCCTAACTCCCAGGAGCGGAGTAGACCGATTGGCCGAACTAGCGTTAAAGTCCGAAAAAGCCTATCTCGAAGAGATAAGCACCACATAAACACAAAATCAAACATAC